GTGTGGAAATAGGGAATGAAATGAGAGAATTCCTTAACTTAAATCAATGGCAATCAAGAGGTAAATCATACCATAAATGAGAGTATCAATTGGTATCAAATGGGGGATGCTTGACCGGTTACTAGAGATGAATAAGGGAGTATTTTTGACTTGGTAAAGAGGTCATCAAATGAGGAGTAACGAAAATTTGAAATGCCTTGGTCATCAAAATTACTTGGTCGGGATCTTCGCCACTGATTTTCGCTCCAACAAATTACAGAAGTTCAACATCAAATCAAAGCATCATCATCAATGACTCCGTATTACGTTTTGAACTCTTTAATAAACTTGCTATGCCACAAACCAACAAACTCTCACACGGACTTAGTCATCCTCCGTATTCTTACTCAATTTCCATGAAATGAATGCAAAATAATATACCGATAAGTATGCAGTAAAGTCATGAAAACTTCACGTTAGTTTGATACAATAATTGTACAATTTTAGTAGCGTTTGAAAAGGACTTTAGCTTTCTTATAGTGTTGGATGATTGTTGAACATTTAAGAACCCCTAAATGATGCTAACATCGACTGTCTTCAATATAGAACATCCTTCAGAAATTTAATCAATAACATCAATTACACCAATGATATCACGCCCACAATCTCCCGTTGTGGATCATGCTTCCCGTTCTCTTATATGCCTACAATAGAGCAGATAATTAAAACATTAGAAAATTGACAATGTAAGACTTTATATTTATAATTAATCAGAAAATTTTTATAAAGTAACAGGAAAATAAAAATGTTAAAATATCTTAAAATATTTTTCAACAAAAATGATTACATGATTACATCACTAGATGGATGTTCTATTACGGAGACAATCGCAGTTGACGTCGTTTGCGGGGTTCTTAAATGTTGAACAATCATCCAACACTGCACAAAAGCTGCAATCCTTTTCACACACCACTAAAATTATTGGATTATTATATCAAACCAAAGTGAAGTGTTGATGACTCGACTGCATACTTACCGTTAATTTGATACAATAATCCAACAGTTTTAGTGGTGTGTGAAAAGGACTGTAGCTTTCTTGTAGCGTTGATGATTGTTGAACATTTAAGAACCCTGTAACCGATGCTAACGACAATTGTCTCCGTTACAAAACATCCTTCACAAATTTAAGCATTAATATCAATTACACCAATGATTACAATCTCCCATTGTGGAATCTGCTTCCGACTCTCTTATACTTGCAGTATGTTGATGTTAGTTTGTGTATACTTTCTCTATATTGCTTTATTGTAGGCGTATGAGAGAGTGAGACGCTGGTTCCACAATGGAGATTGTGTGCGTGACATCATTAGCGTAATTGATGTTATTGCTTTGAACCATATTTATTTGGTCAACTTTTGAAATTTCTTGAACTGTAAGTACATTAAAAGAACTACGTGGACTTTGATTCCCAATATAAGGGATACGTAGGCACCTTAATTGACATGTACGTAAGGATACTTATTAAATGTCAACTAAGCTCAAGTCCATATTTGTTACCAAAGTTGTACTCCACATAGGTTAAATTCAACAGTATCTTGAGTTTCATCAACATCATCATGCAATCCGACTCCAATAAACAGTCTAGAGTAATATCGCCGTTCTTTTTGATAGTAGCCTCAAACATGTTACTTAATAGATGCTATCCAAGTTATCATCTTTGGTGTACAAGATGTTGATACTATTATCCCACAGTTCTATAAGAGTGCATACCTTTTCACGCATCACTGGTATTGTTGGATAATAGCATCAAACTAATGTCAATGTTGATGACTCAACTGCAAGTTTACCATAACATTATTTTGCATTCCTTTTCTCGACATTGAGTGAGTATTCAAAAGATAACTAAGTCTGTATAAGCGTTCTTTTGTTTGTGCTATTGCAGGCGTAATTTAGAATTGAAAGCATAATATATAATAAAGACTATTGACCTGATATCATTGTCCTAAATGAAATTGATGTTTTGAGTTCATCTTCAACAGTTCAAACATTAACTCAAAAACATTAACGACAAAAGGGAACTGTGATGTCACGTCAATATTCTTCATTATGTATTATGCTTTCAATTCTAAATTACGTCTGCAATAGCACAAACAAGAGAGCGGTTATACACACTTAGTTATCATCTGAATTCTTACTCAACGTCGAGGAGAGGAATGCAAATAGTGTAATGGTAAACTTGCAGTTGAGTCATCAACATTTGACATTAGTTTGATACCACTATCCAACAGTACCAGTGCTGTGTGAAAAGGTCTGTACTCTTCTGAAACTGTGGGATGATGGTATCAACATCTCGTACGCCAACGATGATAACTTGGACAACTTCCGTGAAGTAACATGCTTAAGACCAATAACAAAAAGAACGAATTACTCGAGACTGTGTATTGGAGTCAGATAGCATTATGACGTTGGTGAAAATCAAGATATTATTGAATTAACCTATGTAGAGTAAGTCTTCGTAAAGTTGAATTTCGCAAGTCCTACGAGGAGGAGGTGAATGTGAGGGGGTCATCTTCGGACTCGATGGTAATCCGATGATCGTCTGGTCCCAAGATGACGCCCTCTCATTCATCTCTTCCTCGGTGGCTTTCCGAAAACAAGTATTCTGGGTGGGTGTAAAGGTTCTCTAATGTTAGAAACAGATACAAACAGGTTTGTGTAATTACTTGGACATGTCACTCGTTTTTAACACTACGTCTTATGATATTTTTTATTTAAAAAAAAAAGGCTCGCCGAACCGCCGACCTGCACCCGAACCGACCGAAAACCGGAGGGGACCGGGCCGGTCTGATAACCCGGCCCTAAGCTATATACGGTTCGGGCCTGGGCCAGGTTTTAGCAGACCATCCCCGGGCCGGGCCCGTACCCATTGACTGGCCATGTCTAAGCACAGGTCAAGACCCATAATAAAAACGGGCACGACCGGTCGGGAATTGAGGTCATTCCGGTTTCATCACCGGTTCAACTTTTAGAATTGGAAAGTGAAGAAAAGGGTTGGCTGCGATAGGTCTCACTATACACCTGGGCCCACCGCTTGATGTGATCTTTGCACATTCGTCGGGTCTGCCTTCTGTATCTAGTTTTGATTTTCTTGGACTATCAGTTATCACGACAATCATCACATCTGAAAAATGTAAGTTTAAAATACAACTACACTGATGTAATATTACTATAGTCTTCAGATTAGCTTCCTTGCTTCTCTCTCTGTCACAGCCGCTTTTATTGCAGGTTTTGGTTGTTTGACTTCATTAAATGTTTTTGACTTTTCATTTACCTCACATAAGTTTGAACTGGACTATTGATGATTTATATGAAAGTTGTCGTCTTTCTTGGGTTTAGTTGATGTCTTTCTCTATTAACTATTTAGTATTCCTAAGTGTGTTCGTTGAAGCTGTGAATAAAATTTGAGGGAGTCAGATATTTTGTATTTGAAGGGTATGTATAAAATTTTAAAGGGCTTGTGCTCTGATTTGGGTTTGGTTTTGTTTGTTTGTAGGTTTCTGGTCGATCTTGATCTGGGTGGTGATTGAATCTTGGTGATATGTGTTTTCTTATGACCAAGTTCCAATTCGATTTTTCTGAGTTTTGGAGGCTTGAAAATTGTTCTCTTCATTGGCGCGCAAGAATTGGTTGATCGATATTTGGAACTCAGTTTAAATTTGGAATTTTTGGATCGAGGGTTTGGAGTTATCTCAATTGATCACTGTTTTGATTTTGGATCCCTCACAGTTTTGCCGTCATTAAAATTTTAGTTATTTGTTGGGAGACCTCTGTGAAAGTTCAAGTCACTTTGAAGACATATTCAATTGTATCGTTTACTGCTTTCTGGTTCAATTTCGAGTACCTCCTTGTGGAACTTAATGGTCGAAAAAAGTTGTTTTCTTGGGCCCCCTTTTGAAAATGTCTCGAAGTTGGTGTATTCTTTTGGTGCTTTTGGAATCGATGATTATATCTTCTTCTCGGTTTTTGAAGCATGGAGAGAATTGTGGGGCATACAGTTTCAGCCACTCGGATGACCCGAGTCGCGAATTGTTCTATGTAAATGGGAAATTGGTGGACAGATTTTTCTTCTGTAACACTTTGATAGAGCATAATGAAAAACAGTGTCTCCTTACCGAATATGCCAAGAAAAAATACTGCCCATCAGTTGGTACCAATACATCTACATTTCCATTTTTTCTCTCTATTTTTTTTTTTTCTTTTTTTTTTGGGGCCTGGATTTCTCAGGAAAATGGTGTTATTGTTTACTCGAGAGATTAATTTTTTTTATGCTTTTGTTGTTTTTCCTGCCTTGTACAGAATCTACAGACAAGTTGCCTTTGGTAACTAGAAGAAAACTTGTAGAAACTGTGGTTCCAGAGGGATCTAGAAGACTTGATAATGATACAGTATTTATGGCTAATTTCATATTGAAACCCAAGATGCTGGCTATGGGTGTGCCGGCAATCTTCTTATTCTGTTGTGTGTTACTATGTCCATGCTTCCATTCAAAGAAAAGAGATTCTGAGCATACTGTTCTCACCAAGGAGCCAACTTCAAGTATACACATTACTTTATGTTGAAGTTTACAGAGCTTTTTTTCCAGTTTTGATCTCTGCATACTAATGGATTAGCAGGAGAGCTTATTCATTTTCCTTCTGCCTTTTTGTTTCCTTCTCCTGTCAGATGTATTTGGTAATAAAAATATGGGATAATTACACATTGCCTACCTAACTATCCGGAAATTTACACTTTGCCTACAAAACTTTTTTTTTTTTACACTTAACCTACCTAACTTTATTTTTTTGTACACTTTGCCATTTCCGGTCATTGCCGGCCACACGTGGCAATCAGACACAAAAGCCATGTGTTGGATTATGAGGCCGGCGGTGACCGGAATTGGTAAAGTGTACAAAAAATGCAAAGTTAGGTAGGCTAAGTGTAAGAAAAAAAAGTCTTGTAGGCAAAGTGTAAATTTTCGAATAGTTAGGTAGGCAAAGTGTAATTATCCCTAAAAATAAATGGCTCTTTTATCGATGAAATTACACGCATGTGGTTAGGTTGTAATACATTTTACATGTCTAAATATGTCATACAACGTGAAAATTTTAATGATTTATGCATGTTTAACCTTTTCCGTCGAGTAGTTCTTCCTCAAATCTATATATATATAATAAGAATTAACATTTACCATAAATAGTAGTAAGAAAAAGTCAACCACATTTATTATATACTATTTTCAGCAACTTTTACATTTTACATTTTAATTTTAACTCATTATCAAAAAATTGGATGGTTCCTAAATTAATGGGTTTTAAATGCACGTATCATGTTTCAAAAATTATAAATCATTTAAAATCGGAGGGTTCCTAAATTAATGGTTACAAACTTTTCAAAGTTGTAATCTTTATGGCATCTTTTCTTTTTGACTTTTAGTAATAAAATTATTTTAAATATATATATATTCTAATCCAAAAATTCAATCATGTTAAATATATATATATATATATATATTGAACGCTAAAAATATTTTTTAAATTGCATACCCAATCAATTAATCTTAATTTTTTTAAAATTACTATGTTTATTTTTTATTAATATGCATAAAATAAAAATAAATAGTTCATCTTTGGATATATAATTTATAATCTTAATATACTATCATTTGGTGTAGACATATGAATCATAAAATATTTTTATTTCATAAAATTAAATATTATATTTAAAGAAAATAAGGAAATTACTTTGGATCAATCGGGTGATTGAATTAGGGTACTGCCCACTTTGATTGAATTACTTTTAGGTGATATTTAAAATAGTCAAAAAACTTGACATAACTTGGTTGGTCCGAGGTAATTAAGTTATGTATCAGTTTGACCAGACCAAATTGATTATTGAACCTAAATATAAATTTTAATATTGAAAATACTTTATTACGTGAATGTGATGTAGTCCAAACTTCAAATAATCATATTAACAATACTTTTATGACAACATGATTAATGATTTATGAATATTTATATATCATTTTATTATTATTTATGTGAACAAAATATTTATTTCATTATCATTTTTATTAATGTACGGTAAATATAAGGTTTTCAGAATCGGACCGTCTTGTGGTTGTTCAGATTTTAATACATAATACTTTAATATATATATATATATATATATATAGTTCTTTTTGTAATAAATTTAAATAAAAAGTGTTACTTAAATATCTAAACAATTTATAAATTCAAATGTTTAAACTAATTGATGAACAATTTATAAATCTCTATTTTATTTAAATATGTAATTTTATTTAAAATAATTTTTCATGTAACAAAATTTGTTTAGAAAATCGTATCGATCTTACCAGTCCAACATACTGGTGTTGGCGGATTCGATAGTAAATATTTTATTCAAGCGCACTAAATCGGTTATAAACCGGTTCTCGGTCCATGCGGTCGGACTGTGTCCAACCCAGTTTAATTTATAAATAATGGGTAAATCATGATTAATTTTATTTATTTATTTAATTTATAATAATACAATCAAAATATTATTTTCTCGTGCATCGCACGGGCCACGTACTAGTTTTGCAATATTCAAATCATGGAAATTTTACTTATGCTTGTGTAAACTGGCTAGGAACTAACAAGAATGTCTGTAATACAATTCACTCGGTCCCTATTTCCTAATTAAATTTGTATATTTGTGCGGTTCTTTCAGTGGATTCGATTTCGTCTCTAGAAACGAAACCTACATTCGAAAGTTACCCTGGGAGCCCACAAAGAGTACCTCCAAGTCCATTAAGAGTTCCTCCAAGTCCATCAAAATTCTCCATGTCACCAAAACTCAATAGGCTTGGATCTCTTCATCTAAATATGCGCCAAGTTGTGAGGGCCACACATAATTTCTCTCCATCAAAGAGGATTGGTGGGGGAGGGTTTGGGGCTGTGTATAAGGCTGAGTTGCCTGATGGCCAGGTAGTCGCTATCAAACGAGCAAGAAAGGTATAGAACCCTCATTCTGTCTCATAGCATCAAATTTTGCAGCTTCTCTCTCTTTTCATGTTTTTTACTGTGTAACTGTTAAGAGAACACATAATTTTAGTTAGAGTTGCTATAAATTGTTGTTGTGGAAGCATATGGGCAATTAGAGAGCGATTGGATATAAGATTTTTTTTCGGAAACTTTTGTCTTGTACGAAAAAGAGATGAAAAAGGTAGAAAAAGTTGATAAACCTGATATTGTGAATGGATAGGATAAAAATCTAATAGTTAAAGTTGATTTAATATAAAAATAATAAAATATTGATTCATAGATTGGTAGTTACACACATGTGAGTAGATGAATAATGTTTTTTGGTGGGAAGATTTATAATAATGGTTACCTTTTTTTTTGTAAACATGATCGTGTTTGGGAGTCGAAACAAAAGTTCTTCCTTGTTTTTTTTCTTCCGAATGGAAAATACGATTATATTAACCTCAAAAAAAGTACAATAGGTTGCCAACTGGTTGCATAATTGCATTTTCAGTTAGAGTGAGAAAGGCCTATGACGTGGGGTTCGTACGCTAGTGTTTATTGATAAGTAGTTCATGCTACCATGAAAAACATTTATTAGCTTTAGTTGTGATTCAGTCCCATAACTCTGCTTACCAATTTTTATCATACGGCTTCGTGGTTTCAGTAAGGAACCAATTGATTGGAATGCGTTTTTTACCTGAATAGTAGAATCCGTTGGTGCTGAGTATAATAAACATTAATACACCAATTAGGGACTTCAAAATTCAAATGCACAAACTCATGATATTAGATAACTGAATTGCTGAAGTTAGCATCTATGGGACCATAATTGCAAAATATTCAAGAGGGTGTATTCATTTTACTTTGAACTTTAATATCCGAGATTTTAACCAGCATGTTTGTTTATAAAAATTTTTTGGTTTTTTTTAGATTTTTTTATTTGGTTTGGTTAATTTTGAAAAAGATGATATGATTAATTGTTAGTGGGTATATTAAAATAATATCTATACTAATATAAAAAGGTTGTTGGTAAAATCATTTTTAGTAATTTTGACTAAAAAAATAAATAAGTTGACTTACTATTAGTAGAAATTTTGGAAGAACACATGTAGATCTTTAGCAACAAAATCTAAATCCCATGTTTTTGTAACAAATTTGGATATTCTTATGATAAAATTTGAATTCCATTTTCTTCGTATCATTTCAATTTTTTTACCAAAATCTGAATCCTATTTTTTTGGTAATAAATTTGGAGATTTTTATGTAAAAAATGTATCAGTTATTTATGAAAACAAATCCAAATACAAATTAATTTAAAAATCGTACAAATTGGATACAAATTTAGGAAAAAAGTAGTTGTATAATTCCTAACAAATTCTTTCAATTTTTTTGAATAACTTTTTCCTTAAAAAAATGTGTAAAAGATAGAACCACGTGCAATTTTTATTTCAAAATAAAATTGAAATTTGTATAATTTTTTTTAGGAAAGAAATAGTTGCATAAATCTTAACAATATATTCCGATCTTTTATTAGAATTAATTTCAATTCAATTTGTTTGGTAAAAAAAATCGCTGCAATGTTAGGAAAATTTGGTTGCATTTTTAGGAAAAATTAATGATTTTTTTCATTTTGTTTTAACCAAACATTCCGATTTAGTAAAAAATTGTTGTATTGGTAGGAAAATTCGGTTTCATTTTTAGGAAAAACTAATGATTTTTTTCAATTTTACTTAATCAAAAATTTGAATTAGAATTTAAAAAAAAAAAAACAGTGTGGAAAACCCTAAAAATCTCTACTTTCTTTCTACTAGAATTTTATTTAATAAATAAGCTCCGTTAATTTTTTTAAAAAATATAATTTGTTAATTAATAACTAATAATACATAATTTTAGATAAAATTCGAACACCCATGTAGTATTTTACGTTCCAAATAATCAAACTAAGAACACTGTGCATATGAAAGTGTTAAATAATATATAAATTTTAATTTCATGATATTTTTAGTGTTATGATACAATTTAAATACTAAAATATATTTTAAAAATAAAGTATGTAATAAATGCTTCCGTGCATCGCAGTGCATCGCACGAGTACTGTACTAGTTTATAATAAAATAATTAATTAAAATTGATTTGATGTAAGAGTAGGAGAGAGAAATTTGAAGTGATGGTTAGTTAAAATAATGTGAGTGGATGAATAGTGAATTAAGGTTGATGTGGTGTGTATGAATGATTGATTGATATTATTTAATTATATCGATAATTTTGATGATAGTGGGGTTGAGTTAAAGTTGAGTTAAAAAAAAAATGGTTGAATTAAAATGTTGAAATTTTTTAAAAAATGCCATAAACAAACATGCTATAAGATGTTTTGATTTTAATGAAGTCCTTGGAGATCTTAAGTCTAGAGGGATTTGGCGTGGTAGGATTTTTGTATATATAATTTGTATTTGAAATCTCAATAAGTCTTAAATGAGTCCCAACAAATCTGAGTTGTAAATAAATTGAGTACCTTATGACATGTTAAGACTTTTTAAAATCTCAAAGAAATACCTCCACACTTTTAAAGGTTTTAAAATTTAAAAAGTCAAGTTGAATACACCAGGATTACTAAACTCTCAAAGTCTATAAATTCATGAATGAATACAAGCCCCTAAAAAACCAGCATTATTAAAATCTCAAAGTCTTATAAATTCATGAATGAATACACCCCGTAAGAGTTTTGCTGGACTGATGTCCACTTCTACAGCACCAAAGTTTCTAGTTCTGCAAACTCACCAGTTGCAAATTTGAGGGAAAGCCAAATGTATTGTCTTCTCAGTATACATAGTCATACACATTATTGTATATTTAAAATAGATGAAAACCTTCATGCTATATAGTTTCAGCTAAATACTGCGATAGTTCATGTATTTGCTCAGGTATCATACATAGTTAGTTGAATGAATGAATCTATATTTCTTGTTAATGTCCTATGTGCTGCATATTTTTGCGAGTGACTTGTTTCTGTGGGAACAATTTCAGGAGCACTTTGAAGCCTTGAAGGTGGAGTTTAAAAGCGAAGTTGAACTTCTAGCTAAAATTGATCATCGTAACTTAGTCAAGCTTCTTGGTTATGTCGAAAAAGGAAGCGAACGAGTGATTATCACAGAGTATGTGCCCAATGGTACACTTAGAGAACATCTAGATGGTAAGGCTTTCAATCTCATCGAGTGTTGCAAATTTTACTGTCATATATACAAAACTATAACATAGCCCTTGTTCTTGGTAGGTATCAAGGGTAAAATATTGGATTTCTATCAAAGACTTGAGATTTCCATTGATGTTGCTCATGGCCTAACCTATCTCCATCTATATGCTGGTAACAATTCATTCTAAAGACCTGTCGTATTCCCATATTTGTTCTGGGTAATAAAAAATGGAAATCAATATTAAACTACAATGGAAAAAACTATTGCTTTTTTGCACCTATACAATGTTCTCTTATATTTTACTGAATATTGTGGAGCAGCTCTGATCCTTGAATTTACTCGGACTAGAAAATTTGTCACGAAAAATCATGGAGCAAAAGTGATAATTTTTTTAGACTGCGAAATTAATTTTAAATGTAAATGTGATTTTTAAATTTGATGTGATAACTGATAATTAGAAATACGTGATTGAATAGTGAATCTTATATTTTAATTAAACAAAACAAATTTGTACCATCACAATTCCGAGAAAATTTGTTTTGTATCTAGTTGTGGCCAAAATTCTTGATTTGGCATACTCTTCGATATGCTTGACTTTAGCTTCCCTTTTATCTGGTTTTTCGCGGCTATTATTTTTTTTTTTCATTTACCTTTTTGCAGAGAAGCAAATTATCCACAGAGATGTAAAGTCCTCCAATATTCTGTTGACCGAAAACTTGAGAGCCAAAGTTGCAGATTTTGGGTTTGCCAGAGCTGGGGATGATCCCGACTCTGAAAAAACGCATGTATCCACCAAAGTAAAAGGAACAGTTGGCTATCTTGATCCCGAGTATATGAGGACATTTAAACTCACAGCCAAAAGTGATGTTTACTCGTTTGGAATTTTATTACTAGAAGTTCTAACGGGCCGCAGACCTGTGGATATGAAGAGGCCGGCTGATGAGAGGGTGATGATTAAATGGGTAAGTTTTCTTTCTTGTATAGAAATCGTGTGCTGGAGTTTAAGTTTTTTAGCCTTGACCATCACAAAGGATAGCTAACAAAATTACATTACTAGAAAAGGGATTTTGAAAATTGTGAGAACCATTCTTGAGGTTTGATAAATGGGTTTGGTAGACCCTTAATTTAGCTATATATATTAAAAGAAAGATGGCCGTTTGTAGTATTTGGGAAGGTTGGGGACGTAACTATAGAAATATTTGATGAAGTTAACAATTCCCTTTAATGGAGCTAACAACATGTTCAAAATGTAAGATGTACTTTAAGCTCTAAGGTCAAGGTCGAGTTGTAAAATTTCTGGAGTTCCTTTTTCCCTCTTCATGACTTACTCGCGTAAATTTTACATGCAACTGTCATGCGATTTAAGCAATCAATCATGATTTTTCTATCTCACTTCAAGCCATTTGGTTACACTATAATTTTTGGAAAGTATGACGTCTCACATTTAAAAAAAGTAAATTTTTATTTGAAAAGCATGATCACCACACGGCACACATGGTGTGTCGTTTAGTTGACTCAAGATTACAAATCAACCTAAAAAAAAAAAAAATTTGCTCGGTTTTGGTGTTCACGTTTGTTATGCCATGGATACTTGAGATTTTTATCATTAATTTAGAGTATTTTTATCATTAGTAGAAGGGGTTAGTTTTGGACTATAGTAATTTGGGTTACATTACATTTATGGTTATACAGGCATTCCGAAAATACAAAGAAGGAAGAGTTTCGGAGATGGTAGATCCTCTGATGGGGGAAAATATAGATGATGAAATTCTTATGAAAATGTTTGGTTTGGCAATCAGATGTGCTGCCCCTACACGCGTAGATCGACCAGACATGAAAGCTGTGGGTGAGCAGTTATGGGCAATTAGAAAGGATTATCTTAAAACTGAAGGGAGGGGCTCATAAAAATGTAGCTTAATTAGGTCTGTTTAAAAAAGAACACAGAAAAAAGTTGTACTTGGTGTATTGACGTTTTGGAAAGTTGGGACCGTACTAATTCTTTTTGAGTCTCATATGTCCTATCAGTTTTAGATTGATAGTGAATGAAGTTCTAATGGGTTTCTTATGATTGACAATTGTTCTTATGATTTTCAGTATGCCTTTTTTCTAAGTAAATAAATTAATTTTCATCTGCTTGCGCTTGTGTCTTACCCCTTTGCATGTATTTAGAACGCACGTATCCAAAAGATGGTCTTTTTACGTTAGATGGAGACGAGATTGCGTTAGCCTTTTTGAGCAAGCATGATTTTTTAACATCATTAGTTTAATTATTTATTTTTTTATTATTAATTATAGTTTTGGTAGGATGATTCCTTTTTTTTGTTAGACAAGTTATTTATTTAGGGTGATTTATTTAAAAAAAAAAATTGAAAAATAAGTGGAAAAAAAAAAATGTGGGTGGACTGAAATAGAAACCCTATATTTAGCAAATACGTTTTCGTAATTTTTTTTTTAATGAAAAACGTATTTAGTAAATACGTCTTTAAATAAAATTTGTTTACTTTTTTAAAAAACATATTGACGAAAAAATGTATATACAATTTAATTATAAAACGTATTCACAAAATGCGTTTTAAAGAAAACCCCAAATTTAAATTGAAAACCCTAAAACCTAAATAAATCAATTTTTGTTTTATAAAAAAAATCAATTTTCGTTTTATAAAACGTATTTGATAAATACGGTTTTCAATATTAATTAATTTTTAACAAACTAAATTAAAATAAAACGTATATAAGAAATACGTTTTTTAATTAAATAGAAATATAACACGTATTTACAAAATACGGTTTTTAACAAAATATAAGTAAAAAAAAATCGGGTTCCCCTCCATTTCCATTCCATTCTGCATCTGCTGCGAGCTGCTGAGGAAAATTTACCTCAAAATAATAAAAAAAAAAAAAAGCTTTTAACAATCAATCGATTCGGAGAAGAGGTTAGTTGTTATTTTAATATAATGTACTTACATATTTTTTTTTGTTCATGAATTTGTAAGAAATATTTGTTGGTTTTTTATGAGTATAGTTTAGAAAAGATTTATTGTTGATTTAATAGTTGTGTTAAATGATTATACATTGTTCTTTGATGATGGATTTCGGTGTATGTTGAGAATTTTTTCGAAAATTGGATGATTTGTATTGTATTGTTGGATTATGAGAATTAGGGTTTGGAGAGTTATTTTATAAAAGAACATTTGATTTTTTTTTTTTTTTTGTAGTATTAATTGAAAATACTTATCTTGAATTGAGTAAAAGAATAATTGAATTTTTTGGGAAATTATGTGATGTTGTAATTGGGAAGAATTGAAAGTGTTTATATGTTATTGATGAATTTTATTTTTTTGTTGTGTGAATGATAAAAGAATAATTGAATTTTTTGGGTGTTGGGTTAGAAAGTATGTGTTGTTGTAATTGGGAAGAATTATTTTTTGCAACAGGTATAAATGGCATCCACCGGACCATACTTTGTTAATGTGTATTGGAATGTTCCGAAGGAGTTGTTATATGATTTTTCTGATTTTAAAAACTCTCCGGATGGTTCATTTAGCATTGGGGAGAAGCTATCATTTAAAGAATTGGTAGATATTCTTTATGAAAATTTTGGGTTTCATCGAGATGGTTGGATAATTGAGAAGATTAGTTTACTGAGTAGCCAACGCGATGGTTCGTGGAATATTGGAAACCTGAATACTGATAGTGCTCTTGACTGGATATATTATTCCCCTCCTTTCTCCTATGTGTATTTGCATTTAGAGTTGAAGCAGGTTACGCAGGCACCTACAGAGGTTACGCAGTTTGAGGATGTTGCCCTTTTTTACGGGGGAGTGGCTGATGTTGAGGGTACGTCCACTTCGCATGTTCGTAATTTTGGCGAAGGGACAAGCTCAACAGTTAGAGAATGCGATAATGAGGGTGATGATGATTTCGTTCGCGGTGAAGACGATTTCACAGATGATACCTCGGAAACAGATAGATCAATAAACGAGGAGAGTGAACCAGAATTTATTGAAGAACACCCATTTCCTAGTACCGGTCAGCACGTGTATCGCGAGATGGGTGAGTGGGACCCGTCGTGTGTAGACCGTGATGAGTATGCCTTGCCATTGTGGGATGGGCATGTCGATACTATCCGTTTGGGTACTGTTTTCCGGTCCAAGAAAGATGCACAGATGGGTATCATGAGTTGGAACGTTAGTAGGTTGAGGGAGGTTAAGACAACATATTCGAATAAGAAAACATTCAAGGTGGTGTGCACATCTAACGAAGATGAACCTTGTCCGTGGATGGCTCGGGTGACGCACTGCACACGGGTTCATGAAATGTGGGAAGTAAGAGAATGGACTGAGAGGCACAGTTGTATGCAAGAAGTCGAAAAAAATGACCACAGAAATGTAACCGCCACAATGATTTCACATCTTATCATGACCAAGATTCAAAAGAAACCCGACTACAGTGTTACCCTGATCCAGGAGGATGTTAAAAAATGTTGGAAAGTCGATGTGAGCTACAAGAAGGCATGGCACGGGAGGAAAAAGGCCATCGATCGTTTGTATGGCACTTGGGAATCGAACTTCGCACAACTCCCTCAGTAAGAAAAACGCTTATTAAAAATGTACGTGTTATTTGTCACTATGTTTTTGTATTGACGATTACGTTTTGGGTAACGTGCAGGTTTTTTGCGGCGCTTCAAAGAGCGAATCCCACTACGGTTGTAGAGTGGGAATGGCAAGGTGGGGAAATGGCGGCCCACTATCAGCACAGAGAATTCAAATTTGTTTTCTGGGCGTTTGGTCCCGCCATTCAGACCTTTCAGAGATGCCCGCCGGTAATTAGTATGGACGGCACACATTTGCGTGGCTCGTACAAGGGGAAGTTGCTCGTGGCCGTTGCACAGACTGCGAATAAGCGGCTATTGCCAATTGCCTATGCGATTGTCGATGAAGAGAGCCAGGAAAGCTGGTCATTTTTCCTGACAAATCTCCGGCAACATGTTGTCGGCGACAGACAGATATGCTTTCTTTCGGACAGGGATGCGGGCTTACAGAGTGCCGTGGAATCATTGGAAGCTTGGCAAGAACCCGCTGCATATCACCGGATTTGTCTTCGACACCTTCGGAGCAACGTGGTTACTAGGTACAGGAATAACAAAATCCGAAATTGGTGTTGGCAGTTGGGTTCACAGGTTTCAGAGAAAAAATTTGAACAGATACGATCGCGGCTTTTGGATTGTAATCCGGACGCATACGAGTACCTGTTCAGAATTCCTCTAGACAAGTGGACCCTGTTTGGAGACGGTGGACGTAGATGGGGTACTTTGACAACTAACATGTCCGAGAGTTACAACAACGTCCTGAAAGGTGTTAGGTTCTTGCCATGCCGAGCTTTGGTACACGCCATATTCATGAAAACTCTAGACTTGTTTGAGCAGGAACAGAAGAAGTCCACGAGATGCAGTAATGCCATTGCTAGTGTTCACTATGCCGCTTATTGCGAATTGGAGAGTACGGCCGCAACTCATACGGTGCGATGTTCGAACGCGGAGAGATCCCTGTACAAGGTGACAACCGGTCTACGGGCTGATGGTAGAGGCGACAAAAGGTATACGGTTTATTTATTTATTGTATAATTTTTTTTTTTTTATTTTGGTTCATTCAAATTTTTAGTTGTTTATAAAATATAATTAAATGTGGAAAAACAGGTATAAGGTTTCGTACAACCGAATGCGTTGCAGTTGTCAGAAGTGGCAGACACACAGGAAACCATGCTCTCATGCTATAGCTGTGTGTCGTCAAATAAAAGGTCAACCAAGAACCTTGTATGATCCCCACTTTTGGACGGAGAATTGGGTGGCTCAATTTTCTAATTGGAGTTTTGCTCCGATTGGTGATCCGGACACATGGCCGATGGTCGGATGGACCTTACTACCACATTGGGAGAGGATTATCACGAAGGCTGGACCCGGTCGCGCGCAAACGAAGCGTCATCGCATGCAAATGGATCGTCGGGCACGTCGCCGGGCTGATAGAGGACAGTGTAGTAGATGTGGTAATCCACAGCATTTTGTGGATGACTGTCCGTCCTCGCATCCTCGCACTGATAGATCTAGAGTTCGTGATGAGTGGGATAACTAGATTTGTTAGTGTTTAAATTTTTTTATGTTGGACTATTTTTTTTATTGTTTACTTTGATTTGTTAGACTATGTTTGGATGATATATTTTTGTTATGTTGGATTGCATATGAGTTTATTTTTTTATGTATTTTGGTGTAGTTGGTTGTTCTGAATATTTGTAACAGGTTTTAAATGCTGAAACAATTGAAAGAACAAGTTTTTTTTTTATATATATAACAGCTAAAAACGTATTCAGCAAATACGTTTTAAAAATAATACATATTTAAAAACGTATTTGCTGAATACGTTTTTCGAGAAATCAAATTTTTTTATAAACCGTATTCACTGAATACGGTTTTCAAATAATTCGAGTTATAAAACGTATTTAGTGAATACGTTTTTGTAAGAGTAAAAATAAGGTAGGAGGATCCCAGATTCGGGACTCGAACCCGGGTGGGCGAATCCGTTATCTCTGGGCGCACCTCGTTACCATTGGGCCGCACTAGGCTATCGCTGAAAGTTTTGCACAACTTTTGTTGTTATATAGTATATAATATATTGTATATAGTATATAGTTATAGTATATAACATATAGTTTATAGTTTATAGTTTATATCTTATATCTTAAATGTTATAGTTTATATCTTATATCTTAAATGTTATAGTATATAACATATATCTTATAGTTTATAGTTTATAATTTATAGTTTATATCTTATATCTTATAGTTTATATCTTATATCTTATATGTTAAATGTTACAATTTACATATTATATCTTATAGTTTATATCTTATATAGTATATGTTAAAATATGTTATAGAATATTATACTATATGTTATATACTATATACTATATATTATAATAATATATACTATATGTTAAAATATATATACATATATACAATATATTAAAAAAAAATAAAAAATTAAAGAAACCGTATTTGCTGAATACGGTTTACAATTAAATCTTACAGAAACCGTATTCAGCAAATACGTTTTCTGTAAGATATAACAAAAACAAATTCC